TGAATGAGACTGTCCTAGGACAGGTCCCCAGTAAATTGACACAGCCTCAGTCCCACCAGTTTCAGCCTTGGGACATTGTGGCCATAATCACATGTTTCTTTTCTCATGAGGATTCCAATTCCCAAGGAGACCTCTAACCACTTGCTTGTTCTAGGGATGCAGCAGCCAAGTGGAATAATCACCTCGTTGGGTGCTCATCATTTAATCTTGGCTACAGAGATCCCAAGACTGAAAATCTGGGCCCCAGCCTGAGGCCAGAAGTGCCTCAGTGTGTCATGGGAAATAAACATCTTTTGAGATCTGTCCTTTTTCATTTTATCTCAGCTCTGTGGTACCTAATAATAAAGAGGAAATCTCTTGCCCAAGGGATGCCTGCCTGGGTGTTTTTAGGTACTCTGCCTCTCTGAGATCTGAAAAATATGAAGCTAAGTGAACAATTAGAGTGTTGGGCTTGGAGTCAGGGAGACTCATTTTCCTAAGTTTAAATCTGGCCTCCGACACTTACTAGCCATGTGACCCTGAGCTAGGCACTTAACCCTGCTTGCCTCAGTTTCCTTATCTGTAATTAACCTGAGAAGCAAATGGCAAACCACTCTGGTATCTTTGCCAAGAAATCCCCAAATGGGGTCACAAAGTGTCAGACGCCACTCAAAAAAGACTGAAAAGTGGACAACAGATTCACATTTAGTTTCAGAGGCCCCATCTCCCTCCTTTGCAAACAATTACTCAGAATTCAGGGGGATATCTCCCCTTTTTTCAAAAAGTGCCTTTGAACTTGCTCCAGATCTCACTGAACCTGATTCCTTTTCTCTACTCCATCAATTCATGAAGCCTTTCCACTCTGTTGGCAGGATAACCTTCATTTTGCTGTTTTTGCCAGCATGGAAAGGTACTCTCTGTACTTCCCCATCTCTGTTAAATCTCAGATGAGACATATGGTATTCTTGGTACCCTCTTGACTCTGGGGAAAGCAGCAAAGTAGATTTATATTTGGGCCCTCTGGGAAAAAAATATTAAAAAAAAAAAAAAGGCCTCCTTATCCTGTGGATTGGGACCCAGACAGACCACCAGTAGAGAGAGTAGTCCTTCCTTTGCATGCCACGCCCCTTCCCAGGAAATGCAGGGACTACCCAGGTGGCCTTTCCATCTCTGCTCCCAAGCAGCATTAATGTCCGATTGAGTAAAAGGTGTGAGAGTTTAATGACGGGGTGCTTTGTCCTTCGTTGATTTAGCATTGCCTTCAGTGGGGTGGGAGGTGAGGGGTGGTCTTTGGAGCACTCAGCCTTCGAGTGGCAGGTCATTCCACTAGAATTACCTGTACTGTTTCTCTTCTCGTTAATGTTGTTTCAGTAGCTGCTCTAACAGCTGTTTGTTGTCCTGGTGCTCAGGTTCAGAAAGCACCGGGCTGAAACAAGACAGACTTCACACAGACCAGGGTAATTCAGGGGCTGCTGTTGCCCCACCTGAATAGCCCAGGGATTTAGGAAGCACAGCACACACACCAAAGGAGAGGATTCCTTCACAGCTCATTTGGATAGTGATTTCAACCCGTAAAGAAGCAAGCAATGTTATTTAACAATAATAACAGCAAACATTAATATAGTGCCTACTATGTGCCAGATACTGTGCTAAGTGCTTTTTACAAATATCATCTCATTTGATCCTCACAACAACCCTGGGAGGCAGCTGCTATTATTATCACCATTTTTACAACAGAGGAAACTGAGGCAAGTGACTTGCTCAAGGTCATACAACTAGTAAGGGTCTGAGGCCAGATCCAAACTGAGGTGTTCTTGACTCCAAGTCCAGCACTCTAGCCCACTGTACACCTACATTAAATCAGATAAAGTCACTCTGTATAATGAGTCAGATTCAAAAATTAGGAACCATCGCTATTAAAAATGAATTAGATTCAAGAAGATGGGCACAAGGTGATACAGATAGTGAACAATAACACCAAAAGAAAAAATTTTAAAAACTTCATTTATATATGAGATCAAGAAAGTATAGGCACAAATACAGAGGAAAAAGACCTGGAGATCATAGTAAACCACAAGCTAGCCATCAGTGTCATAGAAAAGAAAACAATCATGATATTGACTTGTCTGCTAAAAAAAAAAAGAATGTGATAGCTCGACTGCATATTTATGATGATTTTTTTTTCTTATTTCAATGTGGGATGTGAAGAGAATAGTTTTTTTTGTTCAATTAAAAATTATTTTTAAAGAACGTGATATATAATGATGGAGAAGTACTCCTGCCCAACCAGAAAGGATATTATATCATATCTTATCTGAATCATAAAACTGTAAAAGAATATAAAACCCTAGTAGAGAGCATCTAGAGAATGGGGCATGTAGAGAGGAATTAAGGTATAGGGAAAGAAGACTGAATCAATGAAAAAAAAGATACTATCAGAAAAAAAAGTTAAAGGAATTGAGATTATTTAACGTTTAGAAGAGAAAGCTCCAAAGTGGTTTAACTGACTTCCAGTAATAAGCCTTTAGATAAAGATTGTGCCCTGTGTGGTAAAGGGGAGAGTGGAGATGGGAGTTGAAAGCAGAGAATAGTCAGAAATTAATGAAAGAGTTTCAGTTGATATAAGGAATAGTTCCTTGACTGTCAGCTGCAGGAATGAGCTAGTGGAGAGAAGCTATGGGTAGGGTCATATTCTTCATAGTCCTTCTTACCAAAGGAAGAAGAGGCTTTGGGGATTGGGGGGAAATGGGGTTGGTGGAAGACATCTGCCTGAAGAACTCCTTCCCATTTGTGATGATGGAGGAGCAGAAAATGGGACAGAAATGTTGATATTCAGTTTTCCTCCATTACTATCCCAAGTGGTATCAAGCACTAGAAAACTTTAAGAACCACCACCAGCCCTGAAGGGTTAGACATTAACCTGCCTGTAGGTCTACCTTATAAGGTAGAGGATTGGGTCAGATGATCTCTGGAGGTTTATTCATTCATTCATTCAACAAATAATTATTGTGTCCCTATGATATGGGCTGAATCAAGCACTGTGAATACAAAGAACAATACAATACAGAGAAATGCACTGAAGAATACAAAGTTATAAAAGGTATATTCCCTCCTTTAAGGAGTTTATAATCTATTAGGGGACAGAAAATATACACACAAATAACCAGTGCATGGCAGAAGGTGATAGTGAAATTCCCTCTATTTCCATGATTACAATGAAGAACTTTCAAATTAGCCTCATATCCCAAAATGAAATAGACTAAGTTGGGAGTTAATGAGTTTCTCAGCCCTAGAGGATACTAAAAGCTCAGGTTGGAAGACCACCTTCTAGGGATGTTTGGCAAGAGATTCATGTTCTATGTAGAGGCCAGCCAAGATGACTTCTAAGTAGATGTCTTTATGCTGTGATTCTATGATGCCATGATAGATGGTCTCAGGGACTGTCATCCTGGCTGGTACTTGGAGCCAGGCTCTCCCTACAAGTTACAGAGGTGCCTGATCCTTTTTTCTTTTAATTGCAAAGTCTTCTAAGAGATTCTCATCTAAATGCTTATGAGCATCTCAGCTTCTCACCCCTTCGGGACCTGAAGGTAAAGCAATTTGAACGGACTCTCAACTTTACATAGCAAAGCAGAGTTGGAGCTGTTGAACTGGTCCCACAGGATATCCAGTTGCCAAAATTAAAAAGTTCAAGGTCAGCTTTCCTCTGAGGAGAGAGCTTTCTTTCTAGTTAGAAAATGCACCAAAGTATCTGGCTAAGTATTACAGCAGAAACAGGATAGGACAGAGGAGGTGAAGGGAAGGAGAAAAAAAAAATGGTGGTCCCTGAGCCCTCAGGCTGGTCCAAGTGACTTTAGGTAGCTTCTCATTGTATTTTGAATCCTCAGGAAGCAAAGTACTTTCCTTGTGTAAGTTCGAGAAAGCTCATCAGTATCTACCTTGCATCTAGGATGGATACATGGCTGAATATTTCTTTTTTATAAATCAATACCTAGCACAGTGTTAGGCACATGGTAGACACTCAATAAGTGGTTGTTGAATTAGGTTTTTTTTTTCTTTAAGTTCTGATGTACTGATCTTTAGTGGTGTTTATAACTGGCTAAGAACCTTTTTTGAAGGATCATAGATTTAGAGCTGGGAGAGACCTCAGGGATCACTGTGTCCAATCCCTTCATTTGACCAACAGGAAAACAGACCCAGAGAGTTTATGTGCCTTGAACAGGTTACATAGCAAGTGTCAGAGGCAGGGCTTGAAGCCCTCTCTTACTGACTCCGCTGGCAATACTCCATCCACTGCACTATGCTGGTCTCTTAAAGACTTACAGCAGGGGTTCTTTCCTTGGGGGTCTGCAAACTTTTTTTTTTTTTTGAGGCATTTGGAGTCAAGTAACTTGCCCAGGGCTGCAGATCTAGTTAAGTGTCTGAGACCCGATTTGAACTCAGGTCCTCTCAACTTCAAGGCAGGTGCTCTATCCATTACCTGACCTAGTTGCTCCTGAGTCTGAAAACTTTAAAAAAAACCATCTTTTGGAAACTATATTTCAATATCATTGGCTTCCTTGGTAATAGTATTTTGTTTTATGCATTTCAAGGCATTTTTCTGATAAGGCATCTGTAGGCTTCACTAAACTATCAAAGGGGTCCATGATGCAAAAAAAAAAAAAAAAGTTAAGAAGCCTTAACTTAGAGAAAAGTCTCTAACCTTTTCTGGGAAATCAACTGGAGGACACGGTCAAAAATCACCAAGAAGAAGGCATGAATGGGATCCATTTTCACAAATGGAGGGAGTATCTACATTAAAAATATTACGTATCTATTAAAGTATAGAGCTGCTGTTTCATGGCTATGGTTCCCAAATAATTACATTTTGGTAGAACTTTACATAAACATCCTACAATTTATACCATTTGCCCAGTGCTTTTAGAAATATACATCTACTCCTGTGAGTTTCCCTTCTCTTTCTTCCATCTTAAAAGCAGCATGGATATATGTGCTATTTAATGTTACAAACATTCTTTCAGATGGCTTTGAGTTCCTGGAGATCCTGAAACAAGTTGCCAGGGACAATACCAATAATCCTGACCTAAGCATAGTATGGATTGACCCAGATGATTTCCCAATGGTAAGACCTTTATTCTCCTCTGTAGTCTAATATTCGTTAGCAATTTTGGTGCCTGAGGCAAGTGCCATGAAATACACCCTCAAATAAAAATTTTTAAAGAGAACTTCAATTGGTAGGGGTGGAGGAGTAGGCAAGGCTCCAGGACACTATGAGGCAGCTACTAGGCATGGGAAATTGTGGGGTGGGAGGGTCAGAGGGAAGGGCAGGGCTCAGGAGAAACTCACCTGCAGTGAGGAAGCATATCAACTGATTGCTTCCTATTTTAACTAATTATTCTTATTAACTAGTTGCTAAATTTAGTTTTTGCTTTTTTTCTACCCTTCTACTGTAGGAGTGTAAGGGCTATCAGCACTCTCTAAATTTTGGTGTCCCCTGGCAAGGCCTTTGTTGCCCTCCTTAGTTAGTTGTACAGTTCTTTTTCTTAAGGGATAGGGGGAGAAGGGGTACACAAACATGAAGCATAAGAAGAGTAAAACAAGAAAGATCATCTGTGCAGAATGAATGGGGCTGTTGGATCTGAGATGGCCCATGACACCAAGTGGTGTCTTGGTTATCAGGGACAATTCTGAATTCAGTGCCTTGCAGAAACACTGGAAGTTGAGTTGGCAGAAGCATTCATTCCTTGGATGTCAGAAGCTGGAGATGCTCTTTGGGCCCCTAAGCAGCAGCTCTCAATTTTCTTTTAGTTTCACGACCTCTTAAAAATTAATTGAAGACCCTCTCCTCCCCCAAGAGCTTTTGTTTGTGTGGGTTATAGCTGTTGATATTTACCATATTCAAAATGAAAATATTATGAACTTATGATGAAAATGGTTTTGTTATTATAGTAAATAATATTATTATGGAAACAGTTTTGACTTTAAGGATCCTCTGAAAGGGTCTCTGGGACTCCCGGTCCCCACTGCCCTAAAGAATGGGCTTGGAAGGCAGGGACAGAGGAGAAAGATCAAAGAATCACTTTTTCCAGCAGCAAGGAATTTATTTTTTAAAATTATTTTTTAAGTAGAAGAGCATCACACTGAGGCAACCCAAGCAGGTGAGTGAGGGGGAGCAGAGATACTGTTCTAGACAATTGTTCTTTGGAATAGACATCAGGACGTTTTGTCATTCTCTTGAAAGTTCTTTTCAGTGTCCCTGCTAAGCATCTGTGTGTTCCCCCAAAGGCCAGCCAAGTCAGACGTGGACCTGGGGAGTCTGAGGAAGCAGCCACTGCTTTCTATCACTACTCATGAGGCTTTACGGCCTCCACCCAATTTCCCTCCCACTCCCACTTCCATCCCAGACACAATAGACCCGGGCGTTATTTCCTCCTCACAAGTCTAGCTACCTTTCTGTGGAGTCTGGAGAGTAGGGGGATGGGAAAGGGAGAGCTGGAGTTCCCTCAGGGTCATCCTTTCTAGGCATCTGACCTCCCAGGCTCCCAGAGAGACTTTGGCCATAAAACCTGGTGAATAAACAGTGTCGGCGAAGTGAGTATTAGAGGATTTCAGATTCAGCCCTGGGAGGACCTCAGAGGCCATTTGGTTCAAGTTCCTCATTTTACAGAAGAGGAAACTGAAGGAATGAAGCAGACTTTTCCACTTTGTTTCTGTTTTCTTTTTCTTTTGCAACATGGCTAATATGGAAATGTTTTGCATGACTTCACATGTGTAAGTGATATCAGATTGTTACTTTCTCAAGTGTCAGGGAGGGGCAAATGGGAGGGAAAGAATTTGAAACTCAAAAATTTTTTAAATGAATGCTAAAACTTCTCTAATTTGAATTTTAAATAGAAATGTAAAATTTAACTGTAAATTTAAATTTTAAATAGAAATTTTAATTTAAATAGACATTTTTATTTTAAATAGACATTTATAATGTCTAATTTTCTCATTTCTAATGTAATTGGGAAATATTTTATGAAACAAATAAAAATATATTTTCAAAAAAAGGAAACTGAAGCACAGAGAGGCTAATTGCCTTATCCCATCCCACACTTTGTAGCTGTGTGGCTCTAGGCAAGTCCCTTAACCCTTAACCTCAGTGTCAGCTGAATAAAGGTTTGTTGAGAGGATTAAATGTACTTTGCAAACCTTAAGGTGCTATATAAATGCTGCTTAATGCTGTTGTTATTGTTACTGTGTAGTGCTGAAGTCTGGGACTTAAAACAGGTCCTCCTCTGTCTCTAAATCCTGCATTCTTTCTCGGGTGCCAAATTGAGTCTCACTGCCTTCTGTCTCCCTCCTCCTTCCTGGTTCATCCTTCGACCTCGTCCAACCAGGATGGGCATAAAGGAAAACCTGCCCAACGGTCCTTCCACCCCACTCTCGGCCGTCTCATCATGAAAAGTGCAATAAGTGCCCCATCACGATAAGCCAACACACGACATTTTCTCCTGCTTCTGCCCCCTTTTCCAGTCCCCACCTTCTCTTTTTCCTCTGGTGAAGGGGCAGGCAGGCTCTAGAGGCCATAGTCATACCAGAGTTAGCAAAGGCACCCAGGCTTTATGTGAATTAGCTCCATTGTTTCCAGTACCTTGTCTTAGGAAAGACAAGAGAGGAGACAGCAAACAAATTATGAGAAGCCTTCAGCCTAGGACAGAAGGGCCTATATCTTTGCCTCTCTGTGTATATGAGTATAAGTCATAGCCTAAGTGCAAATACTGATGGCTGTCAGCAGCAGGCAGCTTTGCTGGCCAACGTTCAATCTAGTAATGAATAGGCTGGATTTTCTCATTACCTGGGTGTGTCCCCTATGCACTTGAAGCTCTAAAAACAGCGAGTCTTGCACGGTGCTAACAAATGTGGCTTATTCTTCCAAGTCTGAACAATAGCCAGATCCAAAGTTCATTTGGTCAAGTTGATTTAAAAAGAAACAAACAAACAAAAAAAAAAAGGACAATCACTGGCAAGGCCCAGAGGCCTCCAGAGAGAGACTTATCAGAGTCATGACATCAGTGTCCCAGTGATGGGTACTAATCATGATAAAAAAAAAAAATATCTTAGCACTCTTTTCTTCCAAATGCAATAAAGCTTTATTAAACTTCTTTCAGCCCTAGTTCTGGCTTAATTGAACTTTTCTGTGTCTGGAGGGCACCCCTCTTCAGCACCCTTCAAGTTCCAGATAGCTACCTTGGTCAATACTCAACAGGGGAGGGTTCCAAGACATCTTTCCAAACCATTCACATTCTCATGCATTTTCATAGTACCCAGTTTTCATCAGTTTAGTCTTGCAATGTTATGCAGGAACTTTAAGTCTGTGAGTCACATATATTGGCCTTGACTCTCTCCTCAGACCCTAGATCTTCCACTGTTCCCCACACTTCCATATCCTCATCTCTATCATTTCCAGATTTTCATATTCTACCACTAGACTGGGAATAAAGCAAGCAACCAAATATTTTCCCAAAGTCAGTCCAAGGGATCCAGATCTTCCCTTTTAGCTTCTGTCATGCCAAAACATTGTCAGTCTCTCTGGCTACTGGACTTTGGTTATTTCCTTATATATGGAATAAAGAATTTTCAAATGTCACATTAAAGGAGAGACAGAGACAAGCATCTCATTTCACTATCCTTTAATTCTCAGAGTGCCACATATCCCACGTGAATGAACATTGGACTATGTCAACTGTACACTGTAATTATATTAATCTGTTCCTGTATTATATATATACTTACACCTTTTTAAATGTGTTCCTCCCATTTCCTCATATATTAGAAATGCCTCAAGGGCTGGAATTGTGTCATTTATCTCCTTTGACCACTCAGTTTATACCTAGGATTGGTGGGAGAGAATCTTTGAATGGGTTTGACTGGCTACTGGGAAACCATGTGAGATTAGCTGCAGAATAGCAGACTAGCCTAGCTCTGTCCAGTGGCTTTGGTGATGAAAAGTTTATTCTGTCCCCTAAGTGTATTCTTTATTGTCATAGCTTGTCACCTACTGGGAGAAGACATTTAAGATCGACCTGTTCAAGCCTCAGATTGGAGTAGTGAATGTAACAGATGTAAGTATCATACACTAGAGGACAGTGTGAGAACCTCCTACTTATATTGTTCTGTGTCTGAATGTTGCCTGGAGAAGTCTGGTCCAGAGATCATATAACATAGAAGTGAAAAGGATTTTAGAGGCCGATGAGTACAGACCTTTCATTTTGACTTGCCCTGGATGATACAGTTAATAAGGTAGAATTTGAATTTAGGTCTGGACAGATAGGGAGAGAGGAGAAGGAGGAGGAGGGAGGAGAGAGAGACAGGAAGGAAGGGAGGGAGAGAGGGAGGAAGGGGGGGAGAAAGAGAAAGGGAAGGAGAGATAAACAAAGAGGGAGGGAGGGAGGAGAGAGACAGAGACAGAGACAGAGAGAACCGTTACTGCTTCTTTCCCCTCCTCCCCAGCGCCAGAGCTCCTTGAGCCATACCACTTGTAGCTGGCTGAGCTTTCCTCTCTAGCACCAGCAGCAGCAGTGGGTGTAAACGCAGTCTTGGCCACCAAGAGAATGTTGTTTCTTCTGTCTCAAGCTAAGTAGGGATAGCTGAGACAGAGGGGAAAGGGCCTTTCCAACCTCTCTTTCCCCTGGAGCAGGTGGGAAACATAATTGTTCTCTTCTGTGCCCAAGGATTGTCCATAACTCAAACTCTCCTAGTTTGAATTATGACCTAGCAAGTGAAGTCGGGAAAAGAGGAGGGATGGTGTCCAGGGTCTTGCTGATACATAGTTAAAGATCTGCATTTTGGAAACCCCTGACTCTTTGAATGTACAGAGTTCCTCTTCCAAGTGTAAGCTGAGGGAAATCATCTAAAGACTTTTAAGTGAATCACAGAAACAAAGAGAAAGACTGGAAAGCAGAAAGCTTCTATTCACTGGCAATATGGAAGCCCAAAGTTACAGGAGGCCAAAAGGATGAAAGTTGATCATTATTGCAAAGGATGCAGACAGAATGGACCTTTTCGAGGTAGTAGCCCTTGTGAGTTGGGGTAAATTGATGCCACAAGAAAAGGTTGGGTGACCCTTTTTGAGGCTGTTACAAAGGATATTCATGGACAGGTATGAGTTGGACTAGAAGTCTTCTGGTGTCCCAGCAGACTCTGAAATGATCTAATTCTCATAATTTCTTGCCTGAAGAGATGGTATTTAGTTAGCCAGAAGCTTCAGACATCCTCCCTGAATATGTACTCTATTCTCTGCCAGCCAGGACCACTTAACCCAGTCTGTCCTCAGTAGTTTCCATTCTGCTATCCATTAACTCTCATTATTTCTTTATTGTAGGCAGACAGTATCTGGATGGATATAATAGATGATGATGACTTACCTACCCCTGAAGAACTAGAAGATTGGATAGAAGATGTACTTTCTGGGAAAATAAATACAGAAGATGATGACAATGATGCTGAAGATGATGATGACGACGACGACGATGATGATAACTCTGAAGAAGATGATGATGATGACGATGATGATAGTGACGAGGAGGATTAGCTCTCATGCTGAAATTCTCACAGACACGGAACCATTTTTATTCATTATCCTTTAAAGACAGAATGGGAGACAGGAACAGGCAGTCCCAAAGAGATCCTTCCTTTATTTTTAAGACCTCCTTTTGTACTCCCTTATTATCAAGAATGAGAAAACAGTAACTCCTTCCTAATATAATGTGAGAGATTGCTGGTGGATATAGGTTGGGAATAGGAGAGTGAGAAGGGGGAGGATAGGGAATATGTCTGGTTCTAATGTCCAGACATCCCAATAGGACAAGAAAAACCCACTCACACTTTACTGCAGTTAGCAACTTGTTTCTCTTATCCCCAAATTACAGAGATCATGACAGTGTCAACATCTGGCTAAGATCATGACAGTGTCAACATCTGGCTATCTTGAGAATAAAGGTTCCCTCAGATCTATTCTCAAGTGTACTTTTTATAGTTGACTGTGACAATAACAGAAATCACGTTTTTGAAATACCCACCAATCCAGCGTAATCTTAGATGCCATGGGAAATACTCCTTAATTAATTTAGGAGTATACTCCTAAATTAGGTAAATACTCTCAATTAGTTTAGAACCCAAACTCAAGACAGGCCCAATATGGTTCATGCCCATGGAAATGGGTGAAACTCTGAAACTTGTAACTTTGCTAAATAGTTCATTTATGATAATTCTTTTTTCAATATCAAACCATCTACTTTATTGGATGGTAGTCACAATATTGGCATGTTTCCCACCCCACCCTCTTTTCTTGTCCTTCCTTTCACCTCAGAAGCACTGTGGATGAGCCAGACATAATCTTATTGCAAATTATGTACCTTTGTATGCCTGTAGTTTCTTCTCCATCATTACATTTTTTTCCTTCATAGTAAAAGTTGTTTTTTTTTTCTGACATCCTATCAAACTGAACTTTCTATTAATTAACACTTTTTCACATCTTAAGTGTAATCAGAATCATGACTTATAATCATGACCCTGAAACACGGTGAGAACCAGAAGTGCCTTCTGAATCATCAAAAAAAGCTTAAATTATGTTCAGTATAGTTGTAGTGTCGTGTGTTTTAAGTCTCTTCTAATTTTTTGAAAATTGGCAACTCATCTATGAAGACTTTTAGCCAAAATATCTTACTAATGAGAATTGTTCCATACCCAGTCATTCTGGGAAAACAGAGTTAGCCCTATTTCTGCATACATTTCTCTGTTGTATAAGATTCTGGTGGACTGTCCCACAATTTGACGTGGATACTTTTCAAGGTCTGCAGCTTGGCATACATACTGGGAGGCTTCTAAGACTATCTGAATGTCAGCAGAATGTCATTTGGACTCTTTGGGAAATGAATCAGCAAAGTAGTTGTTGAAGCTATTATTCTAAGTAGGCTTCGGTCCATGAGCCTATTCGGCACCTATATCGGGGATGATACTTGACTACTCTTCATCTTTGGACTTTCATTCTCAAGGGGTTTTGTTAAGCTGTGGCCCCCTCCACAAACATACCGCCATTCAATTAAGTCACTGTGTCAGAGTTCTGGGGCGTTGTAAGATGACTGTAGAGGAACAAGTAAGAATGACATTAAAAGTACCATCCAGTATATGTACGACTGGGAAAAGACCACTTATGTGCCTTGTGGACGTGAAAAGAATCAGAGAATGGCTTCCAGGGCATCGAGTGGGTTCTTTTCAGAAGATTTAGGGAAGAGAGGATACAAAGATGTGGTGGGGTTATAATCTCCATTGATGAGCTCATGGACCCAATAAAGGATCAACAGAGTCATGCCCCGATTCTTTTTTGTTTTGTTTTATTTTCCATTGGGACCTCAGACCAACAATTAGTCTTGATCATTCTCAAGGGCTGGGTGCAACAAAACTTTTCAATCGAAGCAAGGCAATGTTCTTCCTATTGTCCCTGATAGTATGTCTGTGCTCGGGCATGAGGCTCCAGGAATTTTTTCCCACCAATTTCACCCAGTGAAGCCTAGAATAGTGTGATTACTCTAGTCTCCTTTTGGAAATAATAGCCAGGATGATAAGCATTAGGATGATAGGGCTACCCATCATGTTTTGGAAAATGGTTCACTGTTTTGTTGTCAAGAATGGGTAAAACTTTTAAATTTGTCTGTAAGAATAATAATCCTATTTTAAAATTTCAAATTGGTGTTTGTCATCTTTTGTGCTTTGATCATTACTTCATTTTCTTTGAATCTGTGAGGTCATCTTTTAACTGAAATCACTAAGGGCACGTTAATTACACACTTATTTATGGCATAGTGGAAAAAGATTGGATTTGGAGTCAGACATCCTGGATCTTAATCCCAGCTCTGATACTTTCTGTGTACCTGTGGGCTGCCCTATAATTTAGTCTCCTCACTTATAAAATGAGAGTAATCATACTTATGCTATTGTTTCTGTTTTTCAGAAAAACAAAAAGGGATGAGCCTATTGTTCACTTGAACATAAAAGCCTTTAGGTATGGGTTGTCTCTTGTTGCAATTTTCTTACTGGAATTTTACACCCCTTGGAATCCCATTTGGGAAGCCTATTATGAAGAAATTCAGATTGTTGGGAGGCATCATCATATCAGTCTCTGATATGTCTCTAGCTCTGCCTAGAAATGGCACTGGGTAAGACCTTCCATTAAAGGATTCTATTTCTGGCCGTAGCTCCTGGAGCATTTGGTGGGAAAGCATGACAGTTTCTTTCCTCAATGTCAACCCCAAATATACCACTTTCTTCTTTGAATAATAGCCCGATAAATTCACACGAGCCCTTCCTGAATGCTAGCAGCCCTGTCAGAGAAGCATCCAACCTAGGTATGAGAGAACAAAACGGCCTCATTTAAAGACTGAAAAATACTCCCTGCTACAAAGTAGGTTCTGTGGAATAAAGCGAGTTCTCTGGCCTGAGAGATGCCTTTTGGCAATAGGGCCTTGTTTCTATGAAGAACTTTCTCCCTAGAGCCATCTGAGAGGTTACATGCTATAAGACAGGAGAGAAGCAAGGCTTCAAATCCCATATCAGACACAGATCATAGATCCAGAGCTGAAAGGGACCTTAAAGGCCATGAAGTCCAACACCTTCATTCTACAGATGAGGAAACTCAGGAAAGGGAAGGACAAAGCAACAAGCATTTATATAGTATCCACTATGGGTCAGGCATTGTGCTAAGCCAATCAACACAACAACCCTGAGAGGTAGGTGCTAACATTATTCCCATTTTACAGCTGAGGAAACTGAGGTAGACAGAGGTTAAGTGACTTTCCCAGGGTCACATAGCTAGTAGGTATCTGGATTTGAACTCAGGTCTTCCTAACTTTGGGCCTGATGCTCTATCCACTGTACCACCAGCTAAGGCCATCAGAGATTAATTGGCTTTCCCAAGGCCACATATCTAATAAGTGTCTTAGGTGGAATTCACGCCATAGTGCAAACAAGTATAAGTTCCATCCTCTCTGAACCTCAGTATCTTTATCTGTGCCATAAGGATAATAAATGCTAGCATTACCTACCTCTCAGGGTTGCTGTGAAGAAAGCCTTTGATAAATTTCAAGAACCATAGAAATGAGTTCTTAAATGTTATTCAAGTGTCTTCTCTGGTCCTAAGCCTTGCTAAGAAGGAATCTGCTGAAGTCACTTAACTCCAATTGCCCAAAAAAAAAAAAAAAAAAAAAAAGGAATCTGCTTGTCTGCTGTCTGCATTGCTGACATAAAAGGATTAGTAGATAAGAACCGTAGGCGAGCAAGGTAAGCACCAGGAAAAGATGAGCTTCCTTGATGGAGTAATTTGCCTTCAGCTTTTCCCAATGTAAACATCCCAATCATCAAAACTAAACCCACCTACGCCATTCACTGAAAATGAGCCTTGTGAAAAGACCCAAGTGTGGAATACCCTTTTTCCCTCCTCTTGCACATCTCTGCAGCTACATTGTTTACTTTTCAATTCTCCCCTGACTGGTGCAGTGAGCCTCTCCTTCAAGACCCAACTCACTCGTCACAGGCCTCCTTGACCCCCTCCCCCGACAATGTGTTCCCAGTCCTTCCGAATTTCTTAGGCCACATCATATTCTACCTTCTGGTTTAGTGTCCTTGCATTCCACTGGAAGATTTCTGACTGCACAGACTATGTCCTTTTCCATTTTTGTTGTGAGGACATGAACCTTCCCAATCGGGGTTTTACTTCTCATCCTAGAAGTCACACTTACCAGCCCTGGGACCTACTTCTGGCTTATTTCCCTTCCTCAAGGAGGAGTCTGGAGCCATTTCTATAACCTAGCTCCTTTGTCCCAAAGGAGAAGGTAGAAAGGCACTAGTTTCGACTAGTACCTAGTACAGTTGCCAGCAGCAGAAGACGGAAGCCATGCAAGGGTGGATGCTTGTCTAGAGCTGTAAGCAATGAGTAAAAACAAATTCTGACCTTTTCCCTAGATTTAGCTCCACTAAGGAGCAGTTCTCAGGCTAATACTGCAATTTATTGGAACTATAGAGGTCTTTAAGATGGGGATAGGGAAGAAATAAGAAACATGATCTCTTAAGGTTGTGCTTTTCTGGGTTATTTACCATGTAAACACAGCCTGTGTAATTATCTGTAAGGTTTGGTGCATTTAATATGAACTGGCACTGCCAGTTGGAAACAATGCCAGATATCTAGGCTCTATTTTTGTCTGGGTAAATAAGGGATCTCTAGGGTATCCTATGCATAAGACACCAATGTATGAGAGAAAACTGCCACATTTAAAAGCCCTACAAACACTATCCACTAGATTCTCTAGGGATCTAGAGAAATACCTCCAGCACTTTTGGGAGAATTGGTATCAGAATTACAGGATGGGACGTCCAGGTCCTTCACGTCAGGAAGGAGTCGCTGATATAAGGATTCTGACACCATTTATAGCACCAGAACCCATGTGCCTTGTGTATAGAAGGTGCTTGATAAATGAAATGTACAGAATTTATTACAGAGAAGCTATTTTATCTCTGAGTTCTGCATATTGAAAAGATGATTCCAGCAACATTTCAATTTAAACATTATTCCATCACAAGAAAACTTAACATGTCATGGAGTTTGTTAGATCTCTATTCTAATGTGCATTAAGTCTAGATTATTCTAATAGTTGTTTGTTTGTTTTTTTAACCTACATCATGAAGTGGAATACAGTGGAAAGGGCTGGATTTGGAATTGGAGGACCCAAGTTGAAATCCTAACTTCATCACTTACTATCTGTGTGACCTTGAACAAGTCCCTTCACCTCTATGGTGTTTCAG